TCAATATAAGTTTTTTTTAACTGCAACTAATTTTTAATCAATATAAGTTTTTTCACTGCAATTAGTTTATAGAAAACTTGTAATTAATTTTAAGAAAACACTTGTGAGACTGTATAAGCAAATTTAATTGTAATTACAATTAATTTTGAGCAATTAGTTTTAACTACAACTAATTTTTCAATGCAACTACTTTAGCTAATTATAAGTTTATAACTCGGTCAATAATCTCTGAGTTTCGTCGAATCAATGTTCACTCTTCACTGCGACTAATATTGATTAGTTTTACAACTTGAGAGACTTGTTGTGAGACTGTATTATTGTGACTTATTCATTTGCTCATCTCAATATAAGTTTTTTTTAACTGCAACTAATTTTTAATCAATATAAGTTTTTTCACTGCAATTAGTTTATAGAAAACTTGTAATTAATTTTAAGAAAACACTTGTGAGACTGTATAAGCAAATTTAATTGTAATTACAATTAATTTTGAGCAATTAGCTTTAACTGCAACTAATTTTTCAATGCAACTACTTTAGCTAATTATAAGTTTATAACTTGGTCAATAATCTCTGAGTTTCGTCGAAACACTATTCACTCTTCACTGCGACTAACATTGATTAGTTTTACAACTTGGATTTGCGGATAGTTTACAATTGCTATTTTAAGTTGTCTTCCTCTGTTCCTTATTTCATTCCTTGAAATCTTGATGTCATTTTGATCTCAAGTCTGCAACAAAATAGAACTGACTGATGTTAGGCATAAAATTTGATGTTTATATTTCATTAAGCGTGGTTAGATTATTTTTTTAGTTATTATTATATTATATATACATCATCCACTATATCACTCCGATAATTACTACTTATCCTCGATATATCCCCGATTTTCGCTATCCGATAAGGATTTTGACAGTCCGATAAATCCCCGATAACCGATATTTAAAACATTGGTCACAAGATCTACTTCCAAGGGCGGATTTATGTATCCCCTAGGGGTGCAATTGCACCCCCAAATTTCTTATTATTAAATAAATCTCTTTATTTTCTTTATAAGAAACTTATTTCTTTTTTCTTTCTTTTTTTCTTTTTCTTTCTTTTTTTTTTTGGGTCACAGATTCGTCATAGTCCTTTTCCTTAGATCCAAGAGGTACCCTTCGTCTCCTTTAGCTCATCTTCGTTTAATCTTAACAATTCCAGAAACTTTGGATAGATCGTCATCAACCAGTCCAACATTCAAAAACAAGTGATACAACTGATAGATGAAATCTTCTCTATGAAATTCGATTCCACCAAAATCTCATGACACACGATCACATGCTATGATATTTTAGCACAACATTTTAGCAGATTTAACTCCATCGCAATCTCTATAGAAGGATGATTATATTCCAATAGATGGCAAAGAAAAAAGTATGGCTCTCGTACCAAATCGTATGAAGCAATAAATGCACAAACTTACTGAAGCACTGTGTTATTTCATAAAACTAGGCATGGGAGATATATTTCACACAAATATCAAAGTAACTTATCAAAAATTGCTTGACTACGTTAACACACTTTTAAAAAGACATGCAAGACACGTCAAAACAAGATGAGTTATCCACTGACATGCTATATTCATGTCTCTAGATCTACTTCCAAGGGCGGATTTATGTATTCCCTAGGGGTGCAATTGCACCCCCAAATTTCTTATTATTAGCATGTACATTCTAGTAATATTTACAATGTAGCCCCCACCCCCAAATTTTAAAAATTGCACCCTAAGCTATTTAAAAGCACTAAAGAAACTAGTAAGGACCACGTAAATTAACAATAATAAGGTCATATGAAACCAAACATTAGAAGCCCAAAACAACTGCACTAGAAACCTAAAATTCCAAACCCACGATCGAAAAATAACACAAAAGCCAAATCCAGTACCTTACTCCATCACATTACAAGCAAAATATGATGCAAAAGCTGGTCCCGTCACTAATGTGTACTCACTACCAAGTTTATTCCCATCAAGTACCATTATTCTATAATATTATATTTTTACTTTAGATAAATAGATACTTGGCTCCCCACTATCCACAAAAAAAAAAGATCTGCATCCGCCAATATCTTACTTCCAAAACCAATGAATATCCTCAATAAAGATCAAATTGCAGCCCGATATCAATTCACACCAGATACAATATTCCTGGTAACTCAAGATTTCACATGACAAAGAATTAAGTTTTAAATTACTCTTTATCTTTTTTCAAAACAAAAACTTTGCCTACCTTAGACATCTAGGCGACAATGAAATCTTTCTCGATCTCCCTAGAATAGGAAGTAAATCCAGACAACAAGGGAACATGATAAGGCAAAGGTTTTACATGTAACATATTCCTCTTGACCATTATGGTATACAATTTGGACTCTGGCAATATTTATCATGCAGAGAAACAGATTACAGATAATTATAGACAGATAATGGTAAAGTGTCTAACTGCACAGATGTTTGGTGTCACTCAAACTACTCTAGAAAACAAGCTCGGGTGCAAACATTAAGAATTTCAAAGCAATATCACAGAGTCCAATAACACAACCAATTCATAAGCGGATTAATAGTTGTACGAAAAGGTCAGCAATCAGCAGCTATATTATATCCTTAATGTAACAAGTTGGTTGTTACCTATCAAGTTTCACAACATCCTGAATGCATATGGCTAAAGATTGACAAAATGTACTAAAAAATTCATAGACAAAGGACCAAGGTTTTAAATATCGGATGTCGGGTTCATGTCGCTCGGCCAAAATTCATGTCGGATAGCGGAAATCGGGGATATATCGGGGGACATGAAAAAAATATCGGATTGTCATATCGGATAGGTTGATATAATATCATAAATGGAATCTTCACATACTTGATAATTATATTATCTAAACATATGAAAAAGTACATATGAGAAGGTCTTCATTTTCACAAGCAACCACCAAGTTTTTGCTTTTGCATAGAAAACCAAATAGACACTAGGACAGCTTAACTGCATATGTTTAGACAATTCTTATTAAAGTATAATAATTATCCAGAATATAAAAATTACTAATACAATTCTTTATACACAACTTTATTTATTAATGTAAAGATTTATTAATTGTTCAATTTAAGAATTTATGTTATTATAAAAGTCACTTCATAATTTTACACTCAACGAAAAAGATTACAAAAAAAAAATGTTCACATACAAAGCGCGTGCATTATACTAGTAGGAACAAAAAGAAAATTCTACTGAAATTGAAAATTAAACTCGTAATTGCTATTCTAAACTATTTAACTGCATCGACTAACAATTGCAGGATTTTTATTATATATCTGTCATTTCTCCAAACAAGAAACTAGTAAAACCGAAGTATATGTGCACCTAATACAAATAAATTCATGTGTTCTTATAGCCTTCTATTATAAAGAAAACACATGCAATAACAAGTAATTAAAACCTACAACAAGCACCCATATGGGTAGTGGATGGGAAACAATGTGAAACTTTACATAAATAGAAGGTGAAAGATATTGCAAATCATATGATTTCAACATGTCAATGTGAAACCGATATTTCTGAATTTTGGCCGATATTTGATGGCCGAAATGTCGCCCGATATATCCGCTATTTTCCGACATGTCCCCGACATGACCTCAAAAACGCCATACGCATTAAATTCAACAATTTCGTGGCGGCTAGGCTCCGAATCCGCAATATCGGCCGCCATGTCGGACATGGCGGCCGATATTTAAAACACTGCAAAGGACTGAGGTATCAACAAAGTGAACAAACTAAAACTTAATGTTCCCATAAGAAAACATCCACATGATACACGACAGAAAGAATCTGCAACTAGAAGAATAATTGAATAAGTATGTCCACCTTGCACTCTAACTCTCCTGGCAGATCACAGCACAACAAATGTCGCTTTAAATCAGATGATATAATGTGCTACATCTATAGCCCATTTGTATGATCAGAAAGCTATATCTTCATTTGCATATTAGTGGGGTAAAGATATTTGATATTAAAAGGCACTATAGGCATTTGGCAAAGCCCAACTTGAGTCATGGCACACAATGCCATTGTTTAGACTTGACTCGTAATCAAGTCGAAGTAACAAAAAAGATTAGCAAATTATTCATTTTGTCTCATCAATATTCCAATAATTTGAAAAGATTCTATCGGCTAATTTCCATGCCAACAGATATAAATATTAGCAGGTTTATTGAGAACCAACTTTCTTTACTTATAAAGACATTATGTCTATCAAACAATTATCAGGGTTCTGGTCCTCTCTTGAAAGAAACAATTCAGCACCAGCTATTTATCTAAGGGTGTGTTCGGCAACCCGCTCAAAACTGGGCCAGGATCAGTCCTGACCTAGTTCTTTTCTAAACCAGTTTTGAATTAAACCAGAGGGTGATGGTTCCAAAGAAGAACTGGTTTTAGGGCCTATTTTTGACCTAAACAAAACTAGTTCAGTAGTAGTTCCCGGATCCGGTGAAAAAAATTGGATCACTTCTTACGGATTAGTTGAGAATGATTCCAAGTTTTGACAAACAAAAAATAACCCAAATTTGGGCCAGGTTCAGTCCTGACCCATTTTCAAGGGGTTGCCAAACACGCTCTTAAGTTTAATAGTGGAAAGAAAGAAGGATTTGTTGTGTATAACTTTGCCCTCTAACTCTCAAGATCGCTACATGATGTCTGTTCCTTGCCTATTGCAAACAAAAGAAACATATAACCATGTAAGATCTTTTATAAAGAGGAAATAATGGAATATATGAACTTCGACAAAATTCTTACCATTAGTAGTGCAAATTTTCAATAGCATAGATTTATAATACCAGAACGCTAAATAACATAACTGAATGCAGCGAAAGTTTACTGCGTGTAGAAATTATACCCACAGTTCGACTATAAGAACTCTACTGATTTAAATAAATTCACACTAATCAGATATAAAAAGGTTCAATCAAACAATAGAAACCTGAAGAGATAGAAGTTGTTGGTGGTCCTTGAACAAGAGCAGTAGGAGCTCCATCCAATTTGGTCATGCTTCCAGTTAAAGGGCGACTTAGAGCAGCACGAGCCTCCATAAAATTGTCAGAAAGCAACACAAGGTACTGAGGGTTTTTAACATGATCCACAGTTGGATCCGCAGCTCGAGGGCTACGTTTAGCCTACAATAATAGAATATGTTAAGAATATTAAATAACTTCTGCTACCATGCATACTCTGGGAAAAAAGGACCAAGTAGATGAGTAATGATGGAAAATGAGCAATTGAAAATAGATAAATGTAGAGAATACAAATGATGAATAAAAAAAAGAATCAACCAATAAATATGATTGCCAAAATTAGGAAAAATGCAATCATATATTTCAACAGACAACAACTATACTTCAACATAGGTTTTTCTTTGTTGTTCTAAATTGATCAATAGAATTTAACGAAAAGCTATAAACCACAAAGAATTAGAAGTGAACTGAGAAACAATGGGTCTGATTTAGGCAATTCACTTCCCACCAGGAACCCAAGATGGACACAGCAACACCCACCCAATTGACAGTTCCCAAGTACCAGCACTACAGACGACGTGGACCATCCAAATCTGATCCTACCAGCTCAACTCGAAACTTTACGATATTCCTCACAATTTGGAGTAAATTCTTCGAACTTGAACTATTACTCAACTGGAATAGTAACCTTAATCCCAGTGGCATCACCAAAAACCCACTAGCAAGGGCATAGAACTCAGCTGCTAACTTACCTAGATAGTCCTATTCCCAGCGGTATCACCAAAAACCCACTAGCAAGGGCATAGAACTTAGCTGCTAACTTACCTAGATAATCCTTCTCTAGGTTGCAAAGGGATGAGTATGGGTGCAGGCATTGGGCATGACAAATTTGTGGAAGACAGGATACAAGGACACAGTTATGTGTGTCTGTGTCCACGCAAGCACGCACACGCGCGCGCGCACACATATATATATGAGGAATATGGGTATTCTTAGTGATTCATGTCGGAAGAGGATGAAGATGTCTCCTTCTGGTCGAAAGTTGAAAAAAAGATGTAGATTCTAGAGAAGTGTGTCGATAGGGCCTCAAAACCCTACATTCGAGGTTTAATTTGGTTTGAAGGGAGCTCCGGTAGAAGCACGTTGTTTCTCCAAGGTGATATGAACCCGAAGAAGAGAAAGTAAACTCCAATGAAGAAGCTAAACCCAATGCAGAGAAAGTAAACTCCGATGAATGAAGAAGCTAAACCCAATGCAGAGGAAGTAAACTTCACTGAAGATGCTAAGTCCAGTGGGCGACATGAACTCTTTATATCACAGAAAACACCAACAAGCAAGTTTGATAGGTTTAGGCAAAAGACAAACTCCAATATGAGGAGTTGATGAGAGGGCCAAGGCCAAACTCCAATGAAGGGAGCTGAGCAAGGGCAAAGCTTGCTGAAATTTCGGTTAGGGGGAGAAAACCAAGAGCCAAAAGAATTGAGCCAAAGAGGTGCCTCTTTCATAATCATGAAGCGCCTCTGTTTGTAAGCCGAAAATCCTTCTTGACGCAGGGCTAGGTTTAACGCAAACCTAGGTTTGACGTGTGCCTAACTCTGACATGTGGAAGTATACTTTTGTACCAATGATCAGAGCAGCACACTGCTTTAACGGAAATAGCAGTTCACGTGAGACTACATAGCATTTGTGGCCTCGCGACATCAGTATTGAGGCGCTTTTTGTAGTTCCACATCACCAATTATGGGCACTGTTTACTCTACATTAAATGCATCTAAACTATTACACAACTAACTGCCAGTGGCCATTATATAGTTGACATGATGTGACCCTAGCCTCGAGTGTGACGCGTGGCTAGCTAGGTTCGCATCATGACACGTGGCTAGCTCAACTTTGCGTTGCTCACTAGATCTCAAGGCTGATTCTTAGCTTGCATTGACTCAGGATTTTGCGTGCTCTCTCCTAAGGCATTTGCAGACATATTTTGTCTTTGGTGACTCATTGGTCTTGTCGGATGACCATTCTGCCCTTAGTAGGTCCCATGTGGTGCTTGAGCTATATGATCAATAGTTTGTCTTTTTACCATCTACACTTAGTACCAATGATCAAATTTGGCTCTTAGTATCAAGGGCCAGATTTGGTCCTTGGTAGTGATATGGTCACTTTTCATCCACCCCTCTAATGAGCGCGAGTATTCAAGTGAGGACCATTTTCAAATAGACACCTTTTTAATGTGTGGGGGAGAAGTGGTACCAATGATACTCTCTCTGCATCCTCCCTCCCCTCCTGCCCTCCCCCTTTGTGTGCTTGTGTGTGTGTGTATATATATTAAAAAACCAACAATAAGTTCTTTTATGAGATTCAGATTACTTTGAAGGTTGTCTTTCTATTCCAAATAACTATAAGTACCCATGTGATTTTCTCCAAAAATAAAGACTCGTGTGCTACCATCCCTATCACTCCCCTCCTTATCAAAAAAGAAAAAACCGAAACCCATTCTGATGGTCGAACAATGCCATGCTACAGGTGATGTCATTCTTTACTACAAACAATAAAAAAAACTTAGAAATAGAGTACGAGAGAAAACTTGTTAGATTCCTCTATCCTCAAATCTCAGACATCCCTACCGTGTCCATGCTATTTGGGTACATATCCAAATCTGATACACCGTATGCCTCCCTAGTAGCCTTGTTGGGGCAATATAGGTCTTTCTCTTTCTTCTTAGACTTCGATGCACCAGTGCTAAATATAGGCGTTCCAGCTAGCTCTAGCCTTGTTGAACTCTATCCTAGCTAGTAGAAAATATCTCATCTTCTATGCAGAAGCGAAATGGTAGTGAGCAAGGAGAAATAATAAGTATCCTGTATATTCTCCAATCTAATTTAAAAAACTCCAACCCGGGATAGTAATCCTTGTGCTTCTCTATCCACACATCTGAAGAGTGACAGTGTACAAGGTCCAACAGATCACATCCTTTTTCTTACTCCCAAGTCCCAAACAAGGCGTATGCTCTTGTTCACAGATGTTACACCTAAAGAAAATGAGAGGTCACTTCTATAATTCTATTATTAGTCACACCAGTAACAGAGAAGCAAGAGGGGGAGAGCACTTGCACAGCAACAGTAACAGGCAAAAACAATTGCAAAATCATAATGAGCTAGGATCAGCAGCCTGATCTAACACCCCAGTATGTCGCATAATAGGTACTGTCTTCTAAGCCATCCTTCACCTGGCGAGCTGCCATATTTGGCACCCATTCCAGTGTAGTGACAGATGAATAGATGAATCAAAATAATGTGCAAGACCAAGTAATGATATTTGTCTTCTTCCTCTTTCTTAAAATCAAAATTGATTCACAATTTTTCAGACTAGTTCAAACAACTTGACGAAAAAGAAAAGTCTATCAGATCTTCCATAGACGAGAGCCCATTTAGACTTTTATATTAAAGAATCGATGACCAGGCAATGTAAAACATAAACGAAACATAAAAACTATAGTTCACATCTTTTATACTATATGAATCAAAGAAAGGCCAACAGTTTTGATATATATCTCTCCAAGTTATGCCTAAAGTGCTTCTTGAGGTGCATCAACATACTTTACATTGAATTGTATCTAAAACTTTATAACTAAAGAGATAATCAAGACTGCAAGCAGATATAGAAATTCTAGCAAACTAATCTATAGAAATTCCACTAAACTATCTATGAAAGAAAAAATTTAAAACAAGGTCATAACCTGGTAGCATTAGAAAATCAAAATCTCAAAGAAATAAGAACTTGATAAAGAAAAATATGAAAGGAATAAATAGAAGCAGCACATACATACCGCATTATATATCGATCTCAGTTTCGGTAGCTGTTTAGGAGATATCACAGACAGAGAAACAAAGCACTGCAAAAAACAAAAGGGATAAGGTTGGCAAACGTAACAAGAACTGAGAGACACTGTGCATCTGATACACAAAAGGAAAGGCTAGATATATGAATTACCAGACCAAATGACTTTGCAACTGTCTCAGCATCAGCAAGGCATGTCTCTGTCTGTCCCTCAGCTTTCTCATTGTGCTCAGAACCTGTGATAGGAGGACGATAGACAGGAGTAGGGAGAGGATGAGGGTTGCTTGCAGCAACAAGGATACAGTGCTTTTGCACATCAAGATTTTGATGGTTTTGGTTTCCATTAAGGCTAACGGGAAACATCTGAAAATGCAGACATAAATAACTAAATAAGTGATATTTATATCATGTCTCTTATAAAGACATGCAAAAGCTAACAGAAAATTGTGTCGAAAGCGATGAAATACTCCTGGCAGGGAAAAGAGACAACAGCTTTCAAGGTAGTTTAATTCCAAAGTACTTCTACTCCAAGTGGTCGACTGACTAAAATTAATAGTTTACTGCTAACAAATAAATCACAAACAACATAGCCATACACTAAAACTTGGAAATTATATAATTTACTCAGCCCTCTAAATCCGATGCTAACACGTTATCAGGATATAAATCTAGATATCCTACACAACATTCATTTTAATATCACTTGAACCTTTTCTGATGGACACCGACTCGACCATGGTGCCAAACAAATCAAATTTGGGAAGTACCTACAGGAAGACTGGCCTTTTATGCTCTAAAATTCTCATTGAGTTAAAAAAAGACTTCAGTAAAGAAGAAAATGGTCTAATTAACTGGGCCATCTCTAGATATCATAAATTATACAAACAAATCAAAATCTGGTTGACCTAATCACATGGGAATGCCATTAATCAATCTATTAAGGTTACCATCAGTGCTTCAGCAAGACCTTCGGCAATTACAGCTTCACTGAACCCACCACCACCAAATGGTATTCCTGATAACCAATGCAGAAAAGCATCCATGTCCTTTGTCCAACCACTTCGTTGAACCATGAAAGCTGCAAACAGGGGCTTATTAACTATTGAACTTTTTAATTTGACAACGGGTGTAACTTTCCTAAAAGTTTAGCCTCAAGAATTATAGAAAAAATTCATCTGCAGAACCTACTTTAGGAAGTAAATAACTTCATAGATACACCATACATGTGAATGCCTTCAGTTAAAGATTGCATAAGCTTGAGCATCATAGCACTACAGAAACCACTAGCTTAGGACTGATTTTCATACAAAACTTTTATGTTTATTCTGTAAAAGCAAATAAAAATCACATCCGGCTATGAAGTATGACTCTAAAATTTAAAAAAAAAACTCAAAAAAAAGAATTGACAGTTTTTTCTGACCTGACTTTGAACATTTATTAATCGGTGCCAAGGTTTTATATAAGACAATAGTAAACAACTACAACAGATCCATGTCAGTTGGCAGCTATGTTACCTGGGTACTTCTAATAGGGAGTTGTACCCATACCCGACACGTGTCGTACCCGTACCTGTACCCGGCACTTCTTGGACACTCCTTAACCGACACTTCTTGGACACTCCTTAAATATATGTATATATGTATTCAGGCATGTACCCAATTATGCAATGCATGTTAAATTTAAACAACTCGTTACACACTGCTTGGATATATATCCTACACTTCACATCCATTTGTGTAACTTGTTGGATAATGGTCGAGTTCGTTTCATCCTTAAGAGCTACTATTTAAAAGGATCATGTATATATAGCTCAAAACTATGATTATATCTCATGAGTTTCAACCATGTCTCCATACCCTACCTTTTACAAATTTGCCATGTCCCGTAAGTCCGTAACCATACTAGTACCCGCACCCATACCCATGCAACTCAGGTTGGCACATATCAAATGCCTACCACTTATCCTTCTGTAGTATTCTGCAACCAATAAGCAACCTTCCGGTTACCCTAAGAACCACTAAAGGATCCAAAAAAAAGACACCATATAACAAGTTCAGTGTGAAAAATCAAACCATATTTGAGGCATAAAACAAGCTAAAAACACAAGGAAAATCATGCTCCTGGTTGCTTTACAATGCAAATCAGATGGAAGAAGGGAAATATATATCAGCGATAAAAAAAATGAAGTTAGGTCCACATCATACTTGCATAAAAAGGAGTTAAATGATATAGAAACTTCAGGTCTAACAAAATGCATTAAAATAATACAAGAGAGAGAAGAGAAGAGAAGAGGGGGAGAGAGCAAGAAGGAGAGAGGGAGAGGGGGTGGGAGAGAGGGAGGGGAACTTGAACCACGAAGACAAATGGCAAAAAAATAGGTGAAGACTAATCACCATGCATGCAATAGTATCAATGTGCTTAAGTAGTATAACGAAGTGAATCTTGTTTGCCTCTAATTCAATATGCAATAAAACAGGAAATTTGGGGAAAACATGCAACTTTAAGTGTTTCAAAATAATATATTTGAAGTTTTGCTAGCCAAATAGTTGCTTATTTCCTGGACTAAAGGTAAAAAAGTAAGGATGTTCTAAGTTTACTCAAGCCAATAATCAAAATTTGTCTTAGTTTAACGATCTATTATTTCAGATAAATGGACTGATAAATTGAAGCTAACAGCTTGAGAATGCAATTAGCCAAAAAGAGAACAGAATTGTTATCTTATACCATGGAATATACAGGCCTCAAGAACGTAACGTTAAACTAGATATGTGAACTTCATGAAGGAATATTTTCATAAGCACTGAATAAAACCTGAAAACATATGCTAGTGCATCTTTTCATTTAGCATGTAGTGTGATCACCCAGCTGATGAAAGTATTTTATGTGTATTAAGAATTCTGGCTATAATATTAATACATAAAAATTTATAGTGATTACCGTAAGGAAAATGTCTAAAATATAGGTAACATTTATATGCACAGCATACATAATGGTTACCAGTGCACATTGCTGTTAACACGTGAAAGTCGATAATAACAGTGTAGAGAACATCATTGCTATTTTGTCAATTGCAGTCATTGTTGTCTACTATACACATTCTATATAATTTCTGCCAATATGGATGAATTAATGTAACTCAGCACATCGAACACAGGCTTTCTCGCATGTTCCTGAACTCATAATACAATCATGTTGCAGGACTACACCAAGGTCAGAAAGCTAATTGCATAACAAATAAGGCAACTGCTATTGGGTCTTATAGCTCCTTCCAAGAAAAACAGTCCAAAAGTTGCATAAAAGTGAAAAACTTTAACATTGATGCATTTACATTTGCAGAAACATGGTAGCAACTTAATTAACCATTAAAAGTGAAGGTATTCAGTAGTCAGCAATGCTAGACATAGTTAAGGCAATTCAGAATTTTCATCAAACCTCTCGTATTGGAAAATGTATATTATATCTAATTCCATTAAAGTTCAATTTGTGATACATGAACTGTTCACTTAAAATTTTCCTCAAACCATAGCGTCTACATTGCATGTTACTCTTGTCATGTTTAAATTTTCGCCATCTACACAAGATATTACTCCCAATGCATATTGTCATAACTTTTAAAACAAGAACATTGAGTTTTTCCAAGTCCTTGAAATGCATGACTACTCATGTCTGATTTTTGGCAATCTTCACAAAAGACAAATGTAAAAAGTGTGAGAAGTTTTTATGATGGTGAGGCATTGCCGATGTGAAAGACTAGAAAGGGGGATCAGTCGCCCAAACAGATCTAGGTGGAAGAATACGATAATCGTGTGAAACTGCAAAGGAATATGTTTTGCATGACAAAAAAGAATAAGCATCTATATGGAAATATTATAAATTGATAATCTCCATGTTCTAAAAACTTCTAGGTGACAAGGAGATGCCCAGAACCTAGAGTCGCTAGGCATCTGTGCCTAGCTGAAGCACCCAGCAGACGTTTAAAGGCAATTTAGATGTTACTTATACAAACATATATTGAAGAACATTATAGCATCACATAGGAGATGAAAAAATGAGACATGGTGTTGATACATGCAATTTCATACGTGAAAGAAAAGAGCACTTTATTAGAGGGCGTGTTGACTAAATTTTTTCAGCATACCACTGTAAGGTCCATGTGTATTGAACACAACCAAAGCAAGTTCAGGAGTTTGCCCAGAAAGCTTCTGCACAGTAGGAGAACATTGAAAACAATTAGCTGATTAGCTCTACACTGGGTCAGACAACATGAAAACCAGAAGATAGAAATACATACTATGGCAATATATCATATAAAAAAGAACAAGGTAGCGACAACCATACTAATTACGCAGCGAACTAACTAGGAATGGTGTGGTTGTCCCTACTTTACCACTGAATTGTAAGATGAGCTACAATATTGATACTAAAATCATTCCTGAACAACTTTTATCTGAGTTAATAATTGCATAAGGGTGAATGTGACAATAAAAATTTTCATCGATGAAAACTATGGTGTTAGACAATGATAAACAAGCATGCATTTGGTACACAGAGAACCGCATACTTTGTGTGATCGCTCCTGTATAATAATAATAATTCTTTAAATAAATGGATTTTCGGTTTTTTCCCCTCTATTCAGTGGGAGCTTCAACTTGTTTGATGCTCAGGTTCGAACAGTATATTCCAAAGGTTTAATCAGTATACAGTCCAAATTGGATGCGAACAACATAAAAATTTAAGCATGACTTTGAGAAACACCAAAAGCTTAGAAAAAATTGAAGATCTGGAAAAAGAAGACAAGAAAAAGCTACAAGATTTTGACTTCATATTTGACATGGATATTCTGATGAATAAAAGAATCATAAGGCAAGACTTGAGCACTATTCACACACTATGGTATAGTCTATTATTTGACTTTGAACTGCTTCTTTCATTTCATCAACCTAAAAGCAGAAATTAAAATTCGAGCAAATACAATGCTTTGCCCTAAATGTAACACCAGTTCTCTGTGGAAGTCCAGGACAAGCAGATTCAGGTTACCGTAACCATGCAAGACTGTGATATTGACTTGAAAGTGGTCCACAGAATGAAGAAAGCAAGTAAAATGCAGAGAACTCAATTCATGTTAAAGGTACAAACTACTAGACAAAGTCACAAAGCGATGGAATAGGAAAGACACATCACATGCACTTAAATTGTTCAGGGTTTAAATTTCCCCTCATTAAATTGCACACTTACAAAGACAATGCAGTTCCATAAGCCAAAGTTCCAACCTATTTTTCCTCTAGGGTACAACAACAACAAAGCATCTATCAAAACATTCTGAGGTCAGCTAGGTGAATCCTATTCTTCATTTCTTCCACTTAACTTCATTGAAGACCTATTTGCCTATATCCATCTGATAGATTCATACATATTCAAAAATATTCCCCAAACAGTTATTTTAAAAAAAAAACTGACAGTGACTAAAACATTCCAAAAGAAGACAGCCTTACCAATTTCTTAAAGGCAGCATAAAATATTGGCACCAGTGATATATTTCTTCATAACTTCAGAGTTTGTTTAGTTGGTACAGTACTCTTTCTCTTGTCAAAAAACACTAATGCAATCTAGACATATTTACTAGAAAAGTAATAGTGGTCTAATATATTCTCAAAAGAAGTATTGTTCTGGTTGTACTTGGACTGCATAATGCTAGGTAAGATATTGGACAAAAGAAACTCATTATACAAGTAAAAGGCACAAGAATCAGACCCTTGATGATGAAAGGCTATAACAAAATGCAGGATTAACACCATGCATAAAAACATTGAGATAAAATATAGAATACCTGGCCATTTAATTCATTGCCACAAAAACACCTGCATGTTCCACAATGATATTTGATCAATTGAAACAAGAAATATAAATAAATGTGTGTGTATGTGTGTGAAAGGGAAATACAGATATGTCCGAGAGGAAATAAACATATGAGAGATTGATATGTAATATCCTAAGCACAATGATATCGGGTTTGTATTTGTTGTGAAACCCACGATACAATGGTCTCAAAATTTATTTAAGCCAAAAAAATTGCAAACTTGGAAAGATGCAAGTTAAGAAAAAAAATACTTAATTGCCTATATCTTGTATGATTGCATCTCTTAGCTAACAAGAACATTCTTCATATTTCCATCTACAAGCATCTTTAGTCAATTTTGAAAACTCTTCCATAACAAAGCTATAACTATCAGATAATTGCCTCAAAAGAAAATCCTTTCAGAAGAAGACAGTTCCTTATAAATCCCCTGTAAGTGCTATCAGGTTTCATCCTTACAATTATCCGAAATAAGTATATCATACATTAATAATAAACAAACAAGTTTTCCACTGTTCGTCTGTATCTTGGACCTCATTATTTCAAGGTAGACAGAAGATGGGTCATTGATTGCACACGTCTTGAAAGTTGCCAAGTTTACCCGCTATTTCGAACCCACAACCAAAAGATAACGAATTGAGAGCAAAAACGTCATTCACGTCTCTTCAAGAACGCTCCAGCTGAACTCACAATTGCAATTTTCTAGATTTACACTGAAATCCATCACAACGCCCATTAAAAATACACCTTTTCCCAAAAAAATACCAAATTGAGAGCAAAGAGAGCACTGATTATTAATTTAACCTAAAACCCATTTCTAAAACCTCATCATTTAGATGCCAAATTGATCATTCCATCACAAGAGAAAAGGAAAATAAAAGAAAAAAAGAGCCAAAGATTGAGACAGAGAGAGATCGAGGAACCTGATGATCTTGTCGAGGTAGTCGGTGACTATGGTAGGCCAGTAAGGACCTAGGGCTGCGGTCCCCTCGACCGCCACGATCAATTGCTTCTCCGCCATTGAAGAATTATTAAGACCGAGGAGATGAAGCATTTGAGTCGACGGGTTAAAACCCCTTTATTATTTTATTCAAGAGAGAGAATATATAGGAAATAATTAGGAGGGTGGAATTTTATTTTAGGATAAATTTTCAAAACCAACCTGTTTAGGGGCTGTTTGGTTCGTTTCCTTGATATAGAGAAATGCAATTACATGTAAAGAAACACAAATTTTGAGTTTTCCAAACTTTTTCAAAAAATAGATTGTTTTGCTTTGGTTCGCACATAAAAAATAGTGAGAAACCAATATATTTATTTTTCTTGTGTTTGGTTCGCATAGAAAAAAAAGGAAAACTTTTGTAAACAAAGCAGAGAAGGAAAAAAAATCTGACGTGGCAGAGTTTTCATCAATTTTACTTTGTTGGGGAAGGAAATCGGAGAGGGAAAAAAATCTTAGTTGGCGGCGATTTCAGCAGAGTTTTCCCTCTTCTATTCGAGCGAACCAAAGCGGCACAAAGAAATGGACGGAAACAAAAAAGCTGACGTGGAGGGCTAAAAATCTGACGTGGATGAGTTTTCTAAGTTTTCCACCCCATATAATAGCGAACCAAACAGCCCCTTAGAAACTTAATTGCAAAAATCGACATATTTCCAAGTTAATTATCAAAAGGGAAAAATGCTTCCAGCCCCCAAAACGAATGAAAACAAGTTTCCCACCCCAAGACTTTTTCAACGGGTGCTTTACCCCCAAAAGTAAATTTTTTGTTCTCTGAGCCCCCAAAACACAAAGCCCAATGAATTTCACACAGGGAAAGACTATAATACCCATTCTCTCTCTCTCTAACCCTGCAATCCCTCTGCTCTCCCTCCTCCCTCCCCCACCTCTCCACCCGCCGCCACCACCCTCCTCCTGCCATCCTCGCCTTCTCTGCCGCCGTCGCTGCGGCCACTACGGACATCCATAGCATCCTCAACACAGAGAAAACCCGGCGCGGTTCGAGGAGTACAGAGAGATCGTCCGCTCGAGGGTCGAGCGAAACTCCGACGACGAGCGCTGCATAGCCGACGGGAACGAGCGACTGAGGTTTTACTAGTTCATGATTCTCTGCGCGCTGGGTTTCATGGGAGCGTGGGAGCATGCGGGAGGACCTGTTCATGGGAGCGTGGGAGCGTGGGAGGACCTGTTCTGGGAGCGTGGGAGCGTGCGGGAGGACTCGCCTAACCCAAGAACAATAATAAGAAGAAGAAGGACAAGATTGATAGTAATTACAACCAAGCCCCCTGACCTTGGTTGCTCCTGCTTTGGATGCTACAAGAGCTTCTGGGCTCGTTGGGATGCCTCACCCAACCGCCATGTCATCCACCTCATCCTCGATGCCTTTGAAGAGACCCTTGAATCGAAGGAGGCCAACAGCAAGTAGAAGAGGGGGTTGAAGAGTAAAAAAGATTGATTTTGATGAGGTTTTGGCGAAAGAGATGAGCGCCCATGAGGAGAAAGTTGATGATGATTGTAGGCGTATAAAACTGCCTATGGGTCCCTTAACACAGCTCGGCACGGTGATTCGACAAACCAACGACAACATCGAAGCCAAGTGACACGTAACGAAGCGGATTAACGAGGCGACGAGGCTAACGAATCACACGCAAACAACGGAATACATCCACTCGCGTGCGGAATCAAGCTAACGGTTCGGTGAGTCAATGAGTCATCCAACCGTGGAACGGATTCGAACTCGAACTCCAAGGCGGATTTACTGCCAAATCGGGATCCGGACTGCCAAATCAGAGTTCAGATCAACGACGAAGCGGATTTACTGCCAAATCAGGATTCAGACTACCAAATCAGGATTCAGATCAATAAATCAGAGTCCAGATCAATAATGAAGTTCGAATAAACCACGAGACCGGAAAAACGGTAAAACCAAACACCAAGTGGACTCGGCCAAAACCGAGCCACCAGAAGGTGGCTCGGTGGCCGAGCCACCCAGG